TTTTCTCAGGATATGTATATAAGAAAATCATGAGCATACGGCAAGCAGTCTTGGCTCACAGGCATATTCAACCTAGATAGTCTCTTTAAGTATTGAGAATAAATTTGACTTTTTCATCCTTATTTCTTTACTTTCAGACATGTTTACTTAACACAGCACATCATAACCCTTAAAAATAGTTAAGAAGGCTAGTGAGAGTCATATCAACATCTGGGATTCATTTTCACACAGTTAATAAAGTTTCCAGTTGTAAAAGATTACGGTGTATTTTGAAAGGAAGTATGATGTTTTAGTGTACAACCGGTCGCCGTGAGCAATATCTGACACAGTGCAGTCACACCTTGGTTTTGAACACCAACAAAATGGTTCATTGCGTAGGAAAATTAGTTTTATCCTTTTTTTTAAATGAAAAGGGGATTTATTGTATATCCTCTTTGCTGATACAACTCAAGTGCATGTGGACTCCGGACTAGGCTCCCAGGTTATTGCCTGTCGTTGTACCGTCCTTATATTCCGAGAGTTAGACTGGGGCGTCTCTAATAGGAACCACGTGTCATACGATATGGAGAGTTATCACATTACCGGACGTTAACTCAGTTCTAATACAGTCTGTATCTGTAACCAAGTACAGCATAACATAACAGTAAACAGTCTCATTTAACTACCAGAGGTTAACCCACAGGTCTGCACCCCGTATTTAAACAAATAATGACGTCAAATAGGAATATGAATATGAATCACGTAAAGGTATCAATTTCCGGATAATTCCATCAAAGGAGGATTCCATCAAAAACAGACATTTGGTCGTGTCTCAGTAAGAGCTGAGAAACCTGATTCGTGATGAGTTACACGAAATGTATCCATAGTGAAATATACCTGCGTTTTCTACTGCTTAAATGAACCCTTTATAACGCCCAATAGAATCAACAATGAAGTGACAAATTGTGAAATGTAAACATGTGCAGTATACCTTATGGTTACCCACTGGTCCGTCCAACAGTCACTGAACCACATTATTTTCCCTACTGCCGATCCCTCCCCGCAGTGCTAAAGCCCTAAATGAAGCAAGTCTAGATTTCCTCAGGTTCATGTTCTGAATCTCTGATCTCCCTGGGGCTCCTTTTCAATGTAAATGGGAATATTTGTTACAATCAAAACTACATATATTCAGAGACTAAGCTTTAGTCTAGTTAGCCCTCAGCCCTATCGTTTCCAGACGCGAACAGGAACATTCATTGGTCATCAGGTCATGGCGAAACCCAAGGTTGTTTATATACTATTAGGGAGTCAAGTCTCCAACTCGCTAGCCGACCAGTCTGCGTAATATATATGAGAAATCTATATTTATTTATAATTCATGAATACGAGATCCATAATATCCTGTCACGATATACATTGACGGTCCTCCGTCGATAGTTGGACAATAGTCCGTCTCCCAGATCGTTGAGAACAACTTAAGAACTCCAAATCAAGCCAAGAATGGTGATAGATAGCAAGTCTAGAATTCTCAGGTCTCACACTAGGCATTGGCCTGGGCTCCATTTGGAGTTTACTTTATATGTGTGTGCGTGCGTGTGTGTGTGTTCGTGTGAGTGTGTGCTTATGTGCTTGTGTCTGTTTGTCTGAGTGTATGCGTGTGTGTCTCTGAATATGTATAACACCATTATGTTTCTAAGACTAAATTGTACTTTAGTTCAGTAACAACAATCGTGGATGTTGGTATATATGGATTCCCCCTCGTTATCAAGACTAAGATACCTGCATATGTACATATTAAGAAAGGAGGTTGTATTGCCGAATTGCCTACAATCCCCCTCTTCGGGGAACTTTCGCTAAATCCGGAATTCTATTTGTTCAGTGTTGAGCACCTGTAATAGAAAACATGTTTCCATATCAAAATGTGATATGATGGCTAATATAGATGAATATAACTTCATGATTCGTCTCGCAAATTTAAATATCAAATGCAACAGAACCTACATCATCGTACCCATCGTCTTTGTCGTCGTTACCATTATCATTAAAGACCATGCAATGAAACTGTGGATATTCATGTACTGTAGGCCATGTGGCCCGTGATATGGTAATATCCAATCTGAATGTAACATAAACCAGCTGTAGCCACGCTCTGCTCACGCCTGAGAAGGTAATAACACTACACACTCGCACCTAGACTAAGGCTTAGTCTCTGAATATATATAATTTTGATAGTAACAAACAAGCCCATTTATATTGAAAAGGAGCCCCAGGGAGACCAGAGGAAATCTAGACTTGCTTCATTTAAGGCTTTAGCACTGCAGAGAGGGCTTGGCAGTAGGGAAAATGATGTGGTTCCGGGACTGTGAGACAGACTAACTCGCACCCAGCATCAGGATGTAGACATGGTCGGGGAACTCCACACATGTATCGGTTCTGCAACAGCCGCTACCACTTTGGTTTAATCAGCATGCCGGCTTCACGCTGAGCACCAGCAAAACTCTTTCATTAGCACAGTACATGGCGTGTGGAGAACGTCTTCTTCTACTTCTGTGTGGGTGTGAGGTTAGCTGAATGTTGATTACATACCGGCGTTGATTACTGGCAATACCAAGTACGGACCACAATCCTCTGATCCAACTAATCCCACGCTGCTTCAATAATGCAGATTTGTACCTGCCCCAGTGTGGGAAATAGCCACTAGCCCGCTAGCCCGTGGCTAGCAAAAATCCACTCGGGTCCGTAAATCTCCACAGTCACTGGCCCGACTGGCTAGTGAATTTTCATGAGGCCATTTTGTAAATATATCACTCTCTCCGACTTGTTATAATACACTTTTAAATCATGCAAGATTATGGCCAGATAAATATGTTCATCATATTAAAGTAGCTTCATGTCGACAATATTTTATTCTCATCTATTTTTGTAATCTTTTGCTTAATTTCTACACCCAATTTCGGGCTAGTGAAATTATTTTGTGGGCAAGTAGGTTTCAGGCATAGCTAGACCGACTGCATAATTTGGAAACTATTTCGCACACTCCCTGCACCAGTCATCTCGACCATCTCATATCTGTAACATTGTCACCTTCACGTGTCGATTCCCAAACTGAAACGCGACGGTTAAGCAGAAATAACAGTGAAAAACTATAAACATAAGATTTACAAATATCATCATACATGAATATCTGCATCTGATTGACTCAGAATCTATTCTTGTATACATGAAAGTTCATATAACAGTTATATTTATTATTGTTACCGCTTGAATTGCCGAACTATTGACATTACATTCGCAACATACCAAGAGGCATTCTTTGGATATTTACTACATTTTCTGATAGAAATAGTTCTAGGGTTGATATGGGGTACACTCAATCAGCCGCCTACGTTAAAGCGCTAGATAGTGTATGCTATAGAGTGCACGGAGGAAAGGAGCGCTCTTCTATTATTTTCAATGTACCCCGCTTACAAGCGAGTAACATTTCAATGTACCCCTCTGTCATTGGCTACTCATTTGGTACTTCGTGGTAGTAATTCTTTATCTCGAATTACATTGAATCACGTATGATGTTCGGAAATTACCGATGTTTTGCGAATGCAAATGGATGGAAGGGAGATAACTCTAAATCCCTCGCCCTTCCATTCTCTTCCCACAGAGGTTACTCCTGTCATATCTTCCTACGTAACCTCTGTTCTAATACGGCTCTTTCATGGTGTGAGCGTTCAAGACTCGTGATTGGAGACAATCAGATTTAGTTGTGCAATCAGCGACGTTGTTTCAAAAGTGATCATTCGCAAGGCCTCGGTAATTTCCGTATGCTTCGAGAAAACTAAACCTCTTCCCCTGCGCGATGCGCAAACGTTTCTTCTAGACAGAACTCAGTCATGTTATGGCGGATCAGTGGTGTCTTCATCGCCCTCGTTGACAACGGACAAGCTAGCCATTAAACGTCTTGTATGTAACATCAGCACAAGTCCCCGGCAGATGGGGGATATTTGTGGCCCCACATTTGCTTGTGTTAGTCAAGTTGAATCTAAGTCGATGTAACATGTGTTCTGATTGGATAGAAAGAAGGGAGATAATTCGTGTTGCGATCTTTTGCCGCTAGGGGATTTTACGAGAACCGGGAAATATGGCCGTATTAGAACAGAGGTTACGTAGGAAGATATGACAGGAGTAACCTCTGTGGGAAGAGAATGTCGCCCTTCGGGCTCAGGGAACATAAAGAAACATCGAGGGTACATCAACCCAAGGGCCCTGAGGGACCCGTGAACAACGTATTTATCTTACCGAACACCTTAATGTTCATTGTTTGAAGCACGGGCACAAATCTTTTTGTAGCCACCGCTAGATTTTGCTAGCGTTAGATTTTACCCTTGATGTTTGTTTATGTTCCCCTCGCCCTTCGGGCTCAGGGAACATAAACAAACGCCACGGGTACATCTACCCATGCCCCCATCGTGACCAGTGAACAACTTATAATATATAATTAGTTTCATATGTGTATATATGTGTGTATGTGTGTGTGTGTGTGTGTGTGTCTGTGTGTGTGTGTGTGTGTGTGCGTGCGTGTGCGTGTGTGTGCGTGCGTGTGCGTGCGTGTGTGTGTGTGTGTGTGTGTGTGTTATTACTGAATAAAACATAGCGATGAAATCACTTCTGCTTTAATCTCAGATACATGTTCATACGATATCGTAACCCTAACGCTATCGTATCCACGGTAACCCGTAACATTCAGTGTGAGTATATTTGACAACTAATGAATATAATGTAATTGCTAAAACCTTTCTCCATAACATCGCAAGATATACAGCATGTCTGACAACTCGTGAACTCACTGTCCGTTTAACATGATCGTTCCTCTAAAGACCCTATAATTAGTTATGAGTACACAATGCCATTTACAGGGTGGTCAATTCGGGATTCGAACCCACACCCTCGAGTCAGGCACCTAGTCGCCAGCACACAAAGTCAGCCTTCTTACCCACTCAGCCACCGATCCTTCCAGAAGAGTGGAAAGTGTGGGTTCGAATTCTGGATGGGGCTAAGCATAATAAAAGTACTACAATTTGTACTTTACTGAACGTGTAATACAAATTATAACATGTTTCACTATAATTAGTTTTCTTGTTTGAATTGCTAGTACATTGCATTATCCCACTATAGGCAGATTTCAAAGAGTGCCATACGACATGTCTATCAAAAGGTGGCATCATAAACTAAAAGGAACGGCCACCAGTAACACTGGCACCCCACATATTATACTGAACCGTCGAACCTCGTCTGGTACTTTCTAGAATTTCATAAATATTCCCCCTGTTGTAAAAGCACACCTCAAACCCGACTACGTTTTGGAAGCAGGTGTGTAACACATATATCCTGTTACTGGTTAATCAAGCAATGAGGGGCTATTTCCGTGGGGGAAAACATGGTTAAAGGAAAAGTGTTTATATAGGATGACGGTCGCTTTAACCAAATATTTTTACACCGAAAATGATTAACTGACTTAATACCGGATTTTTTTAGTTAAATAGGTAATTATTCAATAGCTGTACATGGTACATTGACTATCATTCGATTATTATGCCCCCGTCTGTCCGTCTGTCTGTCTGTCCGTCCGTACGAAACCGGGAATGTATTCTATCCACTTCTCCACCATAACCGCTCTGTGGAATTCAATGAACTTATACATGGGCTTTCTTGGGACTCTAATGGTGTGCATCTCATATTTTGTTTTTTTATTTTATTGGGTTTTTTTTAAGTTTAGAGACATTTGAACTTAGGTACATTTAGCTGAATTTCTCTATGATGATAGTGTAAATGAGGATGAAGTCTATCCACTTCTCCACAAAAACTGCTCAACAGAATTGAATGAACTTCTACATGTCTTTTGTAGGGACTCTAAAGGTGTGCATTTCATAATATTTTATGCAATTTCTTAATTTTGTCACTTTTACAGATGTTTGAACTTATTTGAATTTTGTTCTATTCAGCCAGTGTTCGTTCAATCCAACAGGAGTTTACGTTATCCACTTCTCCTCAAAAACTACTTTATGGAATTCATTTAGATTACACATGTGCTTTATAGGGACTCTAAAGGTGTGCATCTCATATTTTGATTTTGTATTTATTTATTTTCCAATTTTAATGCCGTTTGAACTTAGATAAATTTTGTTGAATTTCTCTCTGAATATAGTGTTGTAGGGGGTGAAGTCTATCCACTTCTCCACAAAAGCTGCTCAACAGAATTGATTGAGCTTCTACGTGTGTTTCATTGGAACTCTAAAGGTGTGCATCTCATACCTTGTTTGATTTTGTATTTTGTTTATTTTTCCAATTTTTATGCCGTTTGAACTTACATAAATTTTGTTGAATTTATCTCTGAATATAGTGTTGTAGGGGGTGAAGTCTATCCACTTCTCCACAAAAGCTGCTCAACAGAATTGATTGAGCTTCTACGTGTGTTTCTTTGGCACTCTAAAGGTGTGCATCTCATACCTTGTTCATCCAATTTCTTGGGGGGTGTACTTTATCCACTTCTCCTCAAAAACCACTGCAGGGGGTGTACTTTATCCACTTCTCCTCAAAAACCACTGCACAAAACTCATTTAGCTTACATATGTCTTTTATAGAGACTCTAAAGGTGTGCATCTCATATTTTGTTTTTGTATTTTATAGGTTTTTTTTGTATGTTTAGAAACATTTGAACTTAGACAAAGTTTGTTGAATTTCTCTCTGATGATAGTGAAATAGGGGATTACGTCTTTCCACTTCTCCACAAAAACTGCTTAACAGAATTGATTCAGCTTATACATGTGTTTCATTGAGACTCGAAAGGTGTGTACTCAGTGTAGGGAACTCTTCCTACAGCAGCGGGGGCATCCGTCGATAGTCGGACAATAGTCCGTCTCCCAGATCGTTGAGAACGACTTAAGAACTTCAAATCAAGCCGAGAATGATGAAAAGAAAGTCTAGAATTCTCAGGTCTCACACTAGGCATTGGCCTGGGCTCCATTTGGAGTTTACTTTATATGTGTGTGCGTGCGTGTGTGTGTGTTCGTGTGAGTGTGTGCTTATGTGTTTGTGTCTGTTTGTCTGAGTGTGTGCGTGTGTGTCTGTGAATATGTATAACGCCATTATGTTTCTAAAACTAAATTGTACTTTAGTTCAGTAACAACAATCGTGGATGTTGGTTTATATGGATTCCCCTGATTATCAAGACTAAGATACCTGCATATGTACATATGAACAAAGGATGTTGCGTTGCCTAATTGCCTATAATCCCCCTCTTCGGGGAACTTTCCGCTAAATCCGGAATTCTATTTGTTCAATGTTGAGCACCTGTAATAGAAAACATGTTTCCATATCAAAATGTGATTTGATGGCTAATATAGATGAATATATCTTCATGATTCGTCTCGCAAATTTAAATATCAAATGCAACAGAACCTACATCATCGTCGTCATCGTGTTTGTCGTCGTCAGCATTATCATGAAAGACCATGCAATGAAACTGTGGATATTCATGTACTGTAGGTGACCCGTGATATGGTCATATCCAATCTGAATGTAACAAAACCCAGGCGTAGCCACGCTCTGCTCACGCCTGAGAAGTTAATAACACTACACACTCGCACCTAGACTAAGGCTTAGTCTCTGAATATATATAATTTTGATAGTAACAAACAAGCCAATTTATATTGAAAAGGGAGACCAGAGATTCAGAACCTGAGGAAATCTAGACTTGCTTTGTTTAGGGCTTTAGCACTGCAGAGAGGGCTTGGCAGTAGGGAAAATGATGTGGTTCCGGGACTGTGAGACAGACTAACTCGCACCCCGCATCAGGATGTAGACATGGTCGGCGAACTCCACACATGTATCGGTTCTGCAACAGCCGCTACCAGTTTGGTTTAATCAGCATGCCGGCTTCACGCTGAGCACCAGCAAAACTCTTACTCTTATCAATCTGCCTGTTTCGCAAGCACACGTGTATGCAGGGTTAAACCTTGCCTAAACAAAGTTTCAGTGTATGATTTGGTATAGTTGAATAGGTAATTATTCAATAGCTGTACATGGTACATTGACTATCATTCGATTATTACTTGTGTTTATCGCTGACTTGGTTGACACATGTCATTGTATCCCAATTGCGTAGATCGATGTTCATGCTGTTGATCACCGGACTGTCTGGTCCAGACTCAGCGTTAAGCACCAATCAATCAGTCAGTTCTTGTACATTAGCATATCACCTATATTATAGCTGGAATATTGCTGAGTGGGGTTAAACTACAAACACAATTAACTGAAGTGCCACAAGGTAGAAACCTCTAAAGACATCCTATACGTATTATATATATATATCCACAGAGCACATTTCAACACCCGTGTCTTTCCGATCATCTCCTCAATCACCACTCACGTCTTCTTGGCATGGGTAGCTAATGCTGTTTTCGTGGAGTTACTTGGGGTCTTCTTGGTATGGGTCGCTAATGCTGTTTTCCTGGAGTTACTTGGGGTCTTCTTGGTATGGGTCGCTAATGCTGTTTTCCTGGAGTTACTTGGGGTCTTCTTGGTATGGGTCGCTAATGCTGTTTTCCTGGAGTTACTTGGAGTCTTCTTGGTATGGGTAGCTAATGCTGTTTTCCTGGAGTTACTGGGAGTCTTCTTGGCATGGGTCGCTAATGCTGTTTTCCTGGAGTTACTTGGAGTCTTCTTGGCATGGGTAGCTAATGCTGTTTTCCTGGAGTTACTTGGAGTCTTCTTCGCATGGGTCGCTAATGCTGTTTTCGTGGAGTTACTGGGAGTCTTCTTGGCATGGGTAGCTAATGCTGTTTTCGTGGAGTTACTGGGAGTCTTCTTGGCATGGTTAGCTAATGATGTTTTCGTGGAGTTACTTGGAGTCTTCTTGGCATGGGTAGCTAATGCTGTTTTCGTGGAGTTACTTGGAGTCTTCTTGGTATAGGTCGCTAATGCTGTTTTCCTGGTAGTTACTTGGAGTATTCTTGGCATGGGTAGCTAATGCTGTTTTCGTGGAGTTACTTGGAGTCTTCTTGGCATGGGTCGCTAATGCTGTTTTCGTGGAGTTACTTGGAGTATTCTTGGCATGGGTAGCTAATGCTGTTTTCGTGGAGTTACTGGGAGTCTTCTTGGCATGGGTAGCTAATGCTGTTTTCGTGGAGTTACTTGGAGTCTTCTTGGCATGGGTAGCTAATGCTGTTTTCCTGGAGTTACTTGGAGTCTTCTTGGTATGGGTCGCTAATGCTGTTTTCCTGGAGTTACTGGGAGTCTTCTTGGTATGGTTAGCTAATGCTGTTTTCCTGGAGTTACTTGGAGTCTTCTTGGTATGGTTAGCTAATGCTGTTTTCCTGGAGTTACTTGGAGTATTCTTGGCAAGGGTAGCTAATGCTGTTTTCCTGGAGTTACTTGGGGTCTTCTTGGTATGGGTCGCTAATGCTGTTTTCCTGGAGTTACTTGGAGTATTCTTGGCAAGGGTAGCTAATGCTGTTTTCCTGGAGTTACTTGGAGTCTTCTTGGCATGGGTAGCTAATGCTGTTTTCCTGGAGTTACTTGGAGTCTTCTTGGCATGGGTAGCTAATGCTGTTTTCGTGGAGTTACTTGGAGTATTCTTGGCATGGGTAGCTAATGCTGTTTTCGTGGAGTTACTTGGAGTATTCTTGGTATGGGTCGCTAATGCTGTTTTCCTGGAGTTACTTGGAGTATTCTTGGCAAGGGTAGCTAATGCTGTTTTCCTGGAGTTACTTGGAGTCTTCTTGGTATGGGTCGCTAATGCTGTTTTCCTGGAGTTACTTGGAGTATTCTTGGCATGGGTAGCTAATGCTGTTTTCGTGGAGTTACTTGGAGTCTTCTTGGTATGGGTAGCTAATGCTGTTTTCGTGGAGTTACTTGGAGTATTCTTGGCACGGGTAGCTAATGCTGTTTTCCTGGAGTAACTTGGAGTCTTCTTGGTATGGGTAGCTAATGCTGTTTTCCTGGAGTTACTTGGGGTCTTCTTGGTATGGGTCGCTAATGCTGTTTTCCTGGAGTTACTTGGAGTCTTCTTGGTATGGGTAGCTAATGCTGTTTTCCTGGAGTTACTTGGGGTCTTCTTGGTATGGGTCGCTAATGCTGTTTTCCTGGAGTTACTTGGAGTATTCTTGGCAAGGGTAGCTAATGCTGTTTTCCTGGAGTTACTTGGAGTCTTCTTGGCATGGGTAGCTAATGCTGTTTTCCTGGAGTTACTTGGAGTCTTCTTGGCATGGGTAGCTAATGCTGTTTTCGTGGAGTTACTTGGAGTATTCTTGGCATGGGTAGCTAATGCTGTTTTCGTGGAGTTACTTGGAGTATTCTTGGCACGGGTAGCTAATGCTGTTTTCCTGGAGTAACTTGGAGTCTTCTTGGTATGGGTAGCTAATGCTGTTTTCCTGGAGTTACTTGGAGTCTTCTTGGTATGGGTCGCTAATGCTGTTTTCCTGGAGTTACTTGGAGTCTTCTTGGTATGGTTAGCTAATGCTGTTTTCCTGGAGTTACTTGGAGTCTTCTTGGTATGGTTAGCTAATGCTGTTTTCCTGGAGTTACTTGGAGTATTCTTGGCATGGGTAGCTAATGCTGTTTTCCTGGAGTTACTTGGGGTCTTCTTGGTATGGGTCGCTAATGCTGTTTTCCTGGAGTTACTTGGAGTATTCTTGGCATGGGTCGCTAATGCTGTTTTCCTGGAGTTACTTGGAGTCTTCTTGGTATGGGTAGCTAATGCTGTTTTCCTGGAGTTACTTGGAGTCTTCTTGGTATGGGTAGCTAATGCTGTTTTCCTGGAGTTACTTGGAGTATTCTTGGCATGGGTCGCTAATGCTGTTTTCCTGGAGTTACTTGGAGTCTTCTTGGTATGGGTCGCTAATGCTGTTTTCCTGGAGTTACTTGGAGTATTCTTGGCATGGGTCGCTAATGCTGTTTTCCTGGAGTTACTTGGAGTATTCTTGGCATGGGTAGCTAATGCTGTTTTCGTGGAGTTACTTGGAGTCTTCTTGGTATGGGTCGCTAATGCTGTTTTCCTGGAGTTACTTGGAGTCTTCTTGGTATGGGTCGCTAATGCTGTTTTCGTGGAGTTACTTGGAGTCTTCTTGGTATGGGTCGCTAATGCTGTTTTCCTGGAGTTACTTGGAGTCTTCTTGGTATGGTTAGCTAATGCTGTTTTCCTGGAGTTACTTGGAGTCTTCTTGGTATGGTTAGCTAATGCTGTTTTCCTGGAGTTACTTGGAGTATTCTTGGCATGGGTAGCTAATGCTGTTTTCCTGGAGTTACTTGGGGTCTTCTTGGTATGGGTCGCTAATGCTGTTTTCCTGGAGTTACTTGGAGTCTTCTTGGTATGGGTCGCTAATGCTGTTTTCCTGGAGTTACTTGGAGTATTCTTGGCATGGGTAGCTAATGCTGTTTTCCTGGAGTTACTTGGGGTCTTCTTGGTATGGGTAGCTAATGCTGTTTTCCTGGAGTTACTTGGAGTCTTCTTGGCATGGGTCGCTAATGCTGTTTTCCTGGAGTTACTTGGAGTCTTCTTGGTATGGGTCGCTAATGCTGTTTTCCTGGAGTTACTTGGAGTATTCTTGGTATGGGTAGCTAATGCTGTTTTCCTGGAGTTACTTGGAGTCTTCTTGGTATGGGTCGCTAATGCTGTTTTCCTGGAGTTACTTGGAGTATTCTTGGCATGGGTAGCTAATGCTGTTTTCCTGGAGTTACTTGGAGTCTTCTTGGTATGGGTAGCTAATGCTGTTTTCCTGGAGTTACTTGGAGTCTTCTTGGTATGGGTCGCTAATGCTGTTTTCCCGGAGTTACTTGGAGTATTCTTGGCATGGGTAGCTAATGCTGTTTTCCTGGAGTTAATTGGGTCTTCTTGGTATGGGTCGCTAATGCTGTTTTCCTGGAGTTACTTGGAGTATTCTTGGCATGGGTAGCTAATGCTGTTTTCCTGGAGTTACTTGGGGTCTTCTTGGTATGGGTAGCTAATGCTGTTTTCCTGGAGTTACTTGGAGTATTCTTGGCATGGGTCGCTAATGCTGTTTTCGTGGAGTTACTTGGAGTCTTCTTGGCATGGGTAGCTAATGCTGTTTTCCTGGAGTTACTTGGAGTCTTCTTGGCATGGGTAGCTAATGCTGTTTTCGTGGAGTTACTTGGAGTATTCTTGGCATGGGTCGCTAATGCTGCTTTCGGGGAGTTACTTGGAGTCTTCTTGGTATGGGTAGCTAATGCTGTTTTCGTGGAGTTACTTGGAGTCTTCTTGGTATGGTTAGCTAATGCTGTTTTCGTGGAGTTACTTGGAGTCTTCTTGGTATGGTTAGCTAATGCTGTTTTCCTGGAGTTACTTGGAGTATTCTTGGCATGGGTAGCTAATGCTGTTTTCCTGGAGTTACTTGGGGTCTTCTTGGTATGGGTCGCTAATGCTGTTTTCCTGGAGTTACTTGGAGTCTTCTTGGCATGGGTCGCTAATGCTGTTTTCCTGGAGTTACTTGGAGTATTCTTGGCATGGGTAGCTAATGCTGTTTTCCTGGAGTTACTTGGGGTCTTCTTGGTATGGGTAGCTAATGCTGTTTTCCTGGAGTTACTTGGGGTCTTCTTGGCATGGGTCGCTAATGCTGTTTTCGGGGAGTTACTTGGAGTCTTCTTGGTATGGGTCGCTAATGCTGTTTTCCTGGAGTTACTTGGAGTATTCTTGGCATGGGTAGCTAATGCTGTTTTCCTGGAGTTACTTGGAGTCTTCTTGGTATGGGTCGCTAATGCTGTTTTCCTGGAGTTACTTGGAGTATTCTTGGCATGGGTAGCTAATGCTGTTTTCCTGGAGTTACTTGGGGTCTTCTTGGTATGGGTAGCTAATGCTGTTTTCCTGGAGTTACTTGGAGTCTTCTTGGTATGGGTCGCTAATGCTGTTTTCCCGGAGTTACTTGGAGTCTTCTTGGTATGGGTAGCTAATGCTGTTTTCCTGGAGTTACTTTGGGTCTTCTTGGTATGGGTCGCTAATGCTGTTTTCCTGGAGTTACTTGGAGTATTCTTGGCATGGGTAGCTAATGCTGTTTTCCTGGAGTTACTTGGGGTCTTCTTGGTATGGGTAGCTAATGCTGTTTTCCTGGAGTTACTTGGAGTCTTCTTGGTATTGGTCGCTAATGCTGTTTTCGTGGAGTTACTTGGAGTCTTCTTGGTATGGTTAGCTAATGCTGTTTTCCTGGAGTTACTTGGGGTCTTCTTGGTATGGGTCGCTAATGCTGTTTTCCTGGAGTTACTTGGGGTCTTCTTGGTATGGGTAGCTAATGCTGTTTTCTTGGAGTTTCTTGGAGTCTTCTTGGTATGGGTAGCTAATGCTGTTTTCCTGGAGTTACTTGGAGTCTTCTTGGCATGGGTAGCTAATGCTGTTTTCGTGGAGTTACTTGGAGTCTTCTTGGTATTGGTAGCTAATGCTGTTTTCCTGGAGTTACTTGGAGTCTTCTTGGTATGGGTAGCTAATGCTGTTTTCCTGGAGTTACTTGGAGTCTTCTTGGTATGGGTCGCTAATGCTGTTTTCCTGGAGTTACTTGGAGTCTTCTTGGTATGGTTAGCTAATGCTGTTTTCCTGGAGTTACTTGGAGTCTTCTTGGTATGGTTAGCTAATGCTGTTTTCCTGGAGTTACTTGGAGTCTACTTGGTATGGTTGGCTAATGCTGTTTTCCTGGAGTTACTTGGGGTCTTCTTGGTATGGGTAGCTAATGCTGTTTTCGTGGAGTTTCTTGGAGTCTTCTTGGTATGGGTAGCTAATGCTGTTTTCCTGGAGTTACTTGGAGTCTTCTTGGTATGGGTCGCTAATGCTGTTTTCGTGGAGTTACTTGGAGTATTCTTGGCATGGGTAGCTAATGCTTTTCTCCTGGAGTTACTTGGGGTCTTCTTGATATGGGTAGCTAATGCTGTTTTCCTGGAGTTACTTGGGGTCTTCTTGGTATGGGTCGCTAATGCTGTTTTCCTGGAGTTACTTGGAGTCTTCTTGGCATGGGTAGCTAATGCTGTTTTCGTGGAGTTACTTGGAGTCTTCTTGGCATGGGTCGCTAATGCTGTTTTCGGGGAGTTACTTGGAGTCTTCTTGGCATGGGTCGCTAATGCTGTTTTCCTGGAGTTACTTGGAGTCTTCTTGGCATGGGTAGCTAATGCTGTTTTCCTGGAGTTACTTGGGGTCTTCTTGGTATGGGTAGCTAATGCTGTTTTCCTGGAGTTACTTGGGGTCTTCTTGGTATGGGTCGCTAATGCTGTTTTCGGGGAGTTACTTGGAGTCTTCTTGGTATGGGTAGCTAATGCTGTTTTCCTGGAGTTACTTGGGGTCTTCTTGGTATGGGTAGCTAATGCTGTTTTCCTGGAGTTACTTGGGGTCTTCTTGGTATGGGTAGCTAATGCTGTTTTCGTGGAGTTACTTTGAGTCTTCTTGGTATGGGTAGCTAATGTTGTTTTCCTGGAGTTACTTGGGGTCTTCTTGGTATGGGTCGCTAATGCTGTTTTCGGGGAGTTACTTGGAGTCTTCTTGGTATGGGTAGCTAATGCTGTTTTCCTGGAGTTACTTGGGGTCTTCTTGGTATGGGTAGCTAATGCTGTTTTCCTGGAGTTACTTGGGGTCTTCTTGGTATGGGTAGCTAATGCTGTTTTCGTGGAGTTACTTTGAGTCTTCTTGGTATGGGTAGCTAATGCTGTTTTCGTGGAGTTACTGGGAGTCTTCTTGGTATGGGTAGCTAATGTTGTTCTTAAGATATCCGGTTACAGATCAACTCAGAGCAACCTTTCGACAACTCTAACCGACCAATGAAAAGACCTTGAACAAATCGACATTGTCCAGTCAGAAAGCAGATTTCACTAGCTATTTTCAAGCATCAAGCATGTGACTTCCATTCCAGACTACTCTTTGAAAAATATTTTGACACAGTTCTAAATTCAAAATTCCAAAACTGAACATTCTAGAACGTGTAACAGATCCCTCGACTGCAATACTTCCCACTGGTATAATGTTAGTCCCACTGAAGGGGGAGATAACCCATGGTACTGACGGAATCAGTGGCACAGCACCTAGCTGATGTTAACCGGTGACACAACCTCTAGGGCAAATGGTGCACCTTGTGAAACTTCTCTCAACTCTTACATAGCGGACTGAATGAAAGATGTTTACATTCTCCACGACTTTAGAACACAAAGCTATGGTGTTTTGAAATTTGAGGTACTCTAACACGATTAGACACCTCTTATTTTAATTATCAAGCCGAGCGATTCATAACAATTAGGCATGTTATACAAGGAATAACTGCCATTCGTATATTGTGATATGGTGTCAAGAAACGATATCGCCCTCTCAAATGTTTACTGGAGTGATATAGACAACATCGACACAACTCAAAATGGCATTACCCCGTTTTTAACAATTGTTTTTCTCATAAAAGCTCCTCCATTGTTTCCAGTAGTGTCTAAGAACCTATGTATTCATTTGATATATATGTGTGATGTTGATTTCAGCTTGCCATGGAGAACACCCCCATCCACGAATGGAAGCTCCCAGAGATACCCGATGGCTTCAGTCTTCACATCAAGCGACATGACATGACGGGCAGTTCATTGTCAGGCAACAAGGTAGGACAGGATCCTAGTCATATATATATTTGATATTTCAGTGGGCTGTCCACCTTCCAGCGCCTCACATGTATACTCCCAAGGGAGTTGAGCATGAAAGTGGAGGCTGGTCCATTGACCCGGGTAATAAAGTAGCGCTGTACAAGCTCGGGGATGCAGATTTGGCGCATGCGAAATACGCCTTCTGTGACATTAACTCGGCTAGCGATAGGGCATTATGATATGTTTTATAAGACATTATGGATTACAATCAGTCATTTAGAAACTATCGATCTGAAACACTGACCCTTTGTCTGTACTGCCTTTTATGGGTCACAATCCCGTCTGACTACTCTGACTTGCAATTGTGCGTAGTTGTGTTTTGAAAGGTGTGTGTGTGTGTGTGGGTGCCGCGTGCGTCATGACAGAATAGGTGCAGACATCATGTCACGTGTGATTAATCCATTAATTAAATATGCAACATCAAGGATCCTGCCACTTCTTCGCGAATCGTCATCCCGTTATGTCGGATTCCATGATACAGTCATACAAAAGGCAGCGTAAGAGAGAGTGAAGTGGTGCTGCCACGCTTGCAAATGATGGTACAAACTTCCGGTAATATCCCGCCAGACCAAGAAAACCTCTAAGCTCTGTTTCCGTTTTAGGAATTGGCCATCTGGTTACTGCTTCAATCTTCTCAGGGTCGGGAGAGATACCTGTTTGAGAAACTAGATGTCCCAGATACCTAAGTTTCTCCTTGAACAGTTGGCACTTTTCCGGTTTAACCTTCAAGTTGAATTTTGACACCCTTGTCAAAACCATGTCCAATCTTTCTAATGTCTGTCCGAATGTTGTGCCGAAAATAAGGATGTCGTCAAGGTAAATGAGAAGAGTTTGAAAGTTCTCGTCACCAAAGATTCTGTCCATCAGACGCATGAAGGTGCCTGGTGCCCCAGTCAATCCGAATGGCATGCGGAGATATTCATATAGTCCACCTGTCCCGACTCTGAATGCCGTCTTTTCAATATCTTCCTTGGCGACTGCAATCTGGTTAAAGCCGTGAGCAAGGTCCAAGCTACAAAAGTATTTCGCACCCTTTAGGACTGTCAAAGCTTCGTCTATCCTTGGCAAAGGATATGCATCCTTACGTGTCTTCAAGTTCAGCGAGCGATAGTCACAACATACTCTCAGCTTTGTTCCTTTCCTAACAAGCACCACAGGAGCAGCATAGGGACTGGATGACTCCCGGATGATACCTTTCTCCAACGACTTGCGTAGATAATCGCGGACCTCTTGCCATTGGCTTGGTGGTATACGCCGGTGGGGAATCCTGACAGGTATATCGTCCATAGTTGGAATCTTGTGTTCAATGGCATCACAGAATCCTATGTCGTCCTCGTCTTTGCTGAATACATCAGAGTGTTTGTTGATTAATTCCTGTAGTTTTTGTTGGCAGGAAGAAGGAAGACTCTCACTAACATCCATACGCTGTAGGAGGCTGTCAACAAGCTGTGACTTCAAGCTGTTTCCACTTGTATCTGTGACTTGTACTTCATTGCAGCTGACCTCCACAACATCGTAAGTTGGTTCAACTTCGGCCAGGTTTAAAACTCCAACCTGTGTCCTCGGATTGAGATATATAGCCTTGTCGCTGAAATTGGCAACTTGGCAAGGTACTCTCCCTGTAGAGTCCACATTGACCACAGTTGGACCCAATTTAAGTCCAACTGGCAACGGAGCAGAGATTTCCTCAATGATGGCGGTGTAGGACACCTTGCTCGGCTGAACAGTTCCCTCAAACACCATGAGTGATCGAGCTGGGACAAGGATGGGCTTTCTACCAGAAACTCTTATCCTGAGATTTTGTTTAGTTGAGGCAGGAATTTGATCGTAGTATGCCAAAACTTGGTGAACGTCCTTGGGTACTTGGAGATTGTCTTGCGTTACTTTAAGTCTTATATCTCGAAGGGCATTGGATCCAAGTACTCCAGGAACTTTCTGTTTCCGTGTTCTTGTGTCCTCGTCAGTTGGATCTTTGACGACCATGAACCAGATAATACCCATGTTATGTCCAAAAGCTTTAATCTCCAGAGCGAGGTATCCCAGGTAGGGTATGTCCTGTCCATTCGCGGCAGTAATGCGAATCAACCTTCCCATGTCCAATAACTCCTCTGCTGACAGGTGCTCCTTGTAGAAGGACTCGGTGATTGTCGACACCTGAGCTCCAGTATCAATCAGACACGTAAGGCTCATTCCATTCGCAGTAATGCTGGTCTCTGGGCATTTCCCTACCACTCTATACAAGAAGGGACCATTTGTTAAACTTTCCTCGGCTCCCACAGTGAGGTCCTTCACGGTGGGAATCACTGGTTTAAAGCTTGTTTGGGGGGGTTTCTTCGGTTTCGGGGACACCTTCTTTGGATGTGGCCTTCTTCACCGCAGCTCCAACAGGTCCTTGGTCCTCGAGGCCTGGTGCTATTGAGCAAGCTGGCGATCTGTTCTTGTTGACGTTCAATGATGGCCTCTTGTCGTTTGAGTATATCTGCCATTTGGGCTTGATGTTCCTGAGCGTATACTATTGATCTTTCTTTGGAATTGCCCCCTAGCCATTCAATGACACGGTCGCGGAGATCCAGGAAGGATAGCTCTGGATGCTCACGTGTCAGCCTTCTGATTTCCCGCCTCTGGACTTCATGGTAGGCTGACTCGGCAAGCTGTCCCTTCAGTGCCATCTCCTTCATACCATGGAAAGTGCTATCAATTTCTACGATCTTGTCGTACAGTTCGATTAGGTCAAGCGAAGTTGTTACGAGGTCGCTACCAGCTGTCTGGCGGTAAGAATAGAATCGGTGTTGGGCTGCTGGCAAGTCATTTCCCTCTCCGAACACTTTCCTCAGGGTCTTGATGATCTGACACGGAGACTTCCTGGTATCAGGTCCTCTTGCTAGGATTTCCTGGCGAGCCCGTCCACCCAAGTTGTCACATAGAAGAACCGCATAGTCCTCGTCAGACAACTTCCTTGTCTCAGCGGAGACTTTCAGGTCCGAAATCCACTCTTCAAGCGTGGTGTCACCAGCTCGTAGAGGCTTGTCTTTGAAGCGTGGTAGTTGTCGACCAGTTGAGAGGACGAGTGGCTTGCTGGCACTAGCAGACAACGATAGCTCCTGGTCCCGAACTTTAATGCGAAGTGCTTCGAGTTCCATGGCAAGCAATTCCATTTTCTTTAAGTTTGGGTCTGCCACAACAACTGCTGGTTCCTCATCTGCCATCTCGTTCTAGCCTCCCTGGGGTTTTTCCACAATAACTGCTCTGTATCCCACTTCTGACACCAAATGTAAGCGGGGCAAGGAATACAGAGAGTTTTTGATCTTCTATAGAGAGACTTTATTGTTCATTGTGGATGGATGAATCCATGTAACGAAAAAACCCCAGGAGAACACTCCTTTCAGCAACGGTCAGTGGTCACATGACCCAGGGCACGGACCAACTAGTCATTGAAACTGTTGTGGCTAGCAGAAGAAACGATTGACTTGTCTGCTTGAAAACTGCGCTACATATGAGAGGTGATGGCGCGAAATGGAACAATAGCGAACTGCACTATGGGAAAAGATTTTATATCTTTTTACATCAAACACCTAAAAGTTGGATAAACGTTAATGGAACATACTATTTTTAATGATAAATAGATTAGAAAGACTTATAATTACGAAAATGGTGTATTTGTTGGTGATATGAAATTCCTGTTTCCGACTACTTCCGGAAACTGCCGAAGATAACGACGTGAAAACAAGGGCAAAACAAATGTATATAGAAACTCCTTTACATCTATATATGTTGGTTAATTGAATATCGGCCTTTGAATAACAACATGGCAACCACTTATTCTGGTACGCTGTAAAAAGCTGCTTTCAAAAGGTCAATGTAATCTCGTGTGCAAATTAATATTGTATACACATTGTATCCTATCCCCAATTGATCAACAAAATGTGTATGGTGAATTGAGTTGTGTTCTCGCTCTCTGACAACACAACAGTACAATGAGTGACAACACCGTAGTGATTCTTTATATGAAATGTGTCAATGTGTGAACTCCGGAACACGAGCATCTCCCAGACCCATGGCTAGTCACAGCAGTGTACCAACATTGAACCGGGAAGATTCCATGGAACAGACATCCATGGACGTACCCTTGACCTTGACCTTGACCTGTATCCGTGTACTCTCCCGCCCCCATGCTATACAAGTGAAGCTATTGATAAATGTCTTCTGATGGGCGGCACAATGTACAACATTCCCTGCGCCGACCGGGGAGCTCATTAGGAATTGAGATTATGGAAATTGTGGAGCCTTGAGCCTCTGGATCTGGTGCATTCGGTAGAGACTAATAGATCGGTGTTGTTGTATGTGATGAATACGGGAGGGCATATGTTATGTTATGAGCAGGACGGGACAATGGGTAGTACATTTGTAACAACTTCATTTCTTAGCATCTCGTCAAATCTAACGAATCATGCCTAACGAGGAAACAGAGTAACCAATTGATTGTATAACATTCATTTGAACTGTTAGTGATACAGCTTATTATACAACAATTAATATATTCAATCAATATTTACTTCAGCACTGAGGAAGCCACAGGCCTATAGTACATTTCATATATACAAATTTCTCATCGACATGGCTTGATAAATGAAAACCGCAACATTTTTAATTACACTTTCATTTGAAGAATTCAATAGAGACGAAAATTTATCAATTGATGGATGGACAAAATAGAGTTCTTTAATATACTTTTTACGTGTAGTATTTAAACATATACTCATGCCAATAATGGTTGTCACCCCCTTCAATTATTTTAATTTGGAGAGGGGGTGTGGCGCGTGAGGTGGGTGGTTGGGGTTGGGGACGGGGATGACAACCATTATTGGCATGAGTATATATTGTTATGGCTGTTTGACCACTGAAGCAAATATCGTGTTGGTGGTTATTTCCAGAGCTTATTCTTGAGGGTAAATCTTAAT